ACATTGATGGCAAATGTGCAAGCAAACCAAGGTAGATTTTAGTCAAATTTCATTAGGACAGGGGTAGGGCACAACTTCTAGCTTGGGGCAGCTTATCAAAATTTGGGGGCAGAAACTACTGAACTGGACTGCTGAAAACACCATAACATGTTCCACAATACACAAAATGGTAAAATCATAGAACATTACCAAATTTGACAGTTGATTATTTTAAGGGTAGGTAAGGTTCACATAACCTGCCCCAGATGGGACAGTGGGTCTATCTGGGGCAAGATCCTGTCTACCTCAAGCATCTTGTTCACATTATTGTCATGGATTGAAGACTAAATGATGCTGACATATAAGAGTACAGACATAAATGGGGAATGGACATGGGATGGACATAGATGGGGAATGGTCATGGGAATGGACATAGATGGGGAATGGTCATGGGAATGGACATAGATGGGGAATGGTCATGGGAATGGACATAGATGGGGAATGGTCATGGGAATGGACATAGATGGGGAATGGACATGGGAGCACTGCATTCTTTGAATAACTCTGTCAATGCTGCACATCCAGACCACTCTTACCACCATGGAGAAAAATCAACATTTTAGGTATGCTGATCCCATTTTGTCGCCAACTACCTTAAGTGCAAATATCCGGCGGATCAGAAACACTGCTTTTACGACACTTACATGCCCAGACTACTCGTGGAGAATTAATGTGCCTGTTTGGGCGCGGCATCCAATTGAGGCCACCAGCAGCACGCCTCACACATAAACTGTGCTTTAGACTTTTTATCAGCATTACTTTCTATGTAGCTAAAAAGACCGGGCAGAAAATAGAAATCGTATCGTTCACGTCATATTCCCCACCAAAACGCAAGATACCAAATCAGTTTTACTTTGCTGTGAGGCTGCCAAGTCCGACAAATACCACGTGATCAGTGACGTCAAGCATTACACCACGTGATCTCTGACGTCACGGGCGAGCGTCGAGTTGGGCGGCTGCCAGAAGGGGCGTTAGGCGAGCGAGCAAACACTCGGCGGCGGCGCGGCGGTGGAACCCGATAAGCGCCGTGAAAACGAGCCAGCGACCAGGTGAAGTGCACTGTGCCAGTGTCGACCCCGCGTAGACGACGAACGCTCTGCCCACGTCGCAACAATGGCGGCTACGAGGGCGTGTCAGCGGCGTTAGACCGCTTCAGCCGCGCTTTCTTTTGCGATGTGGCGGAGGCGAACGAAAGGCAACATCATCTTGTCGCCGTTCAGCGTGGGTACCGCATTGGCCATGACGCTGGCGGGAGCGGCCGGCGACACCGCGAAGCAGATGCGGAAGACGCTGGGCCACGCGGAGGACGCCGAGGACGTCCACAGCGGCTACCAGAGCCTGCTGACGTCGCTGGAGAACGTGCCGGACGCGGCGCTGAACACCGCCAACCGGCTGTACCTGCAGAAGTCCTTCAAGGTGCGGGACAGCTTCGCGACGACGCTGAAGGAGCGCTACCGGAGTGAGGCGCTGAGCGTGGACTTCGCCGACACCACTGGCACCAGCCGCGTCATCAATGAGGAAGTGGCCCGCCTGACACGGGGCAAGATCCAGGACCTGGTGCCGGCTAGCTCGCTGTCCGCCGCCATCCGCCTCGTCCTCGTCAACGCCGTGCACTTCAAGGCCGGCTGGCAGCACAAGTTCAACAAGGAGTGGACGGAGGAGGGCGACTTCTTTGCGCCCGGAGAGACCCTGCGCGTGAAGCTGATGACCCTCGACGGCAAGATGCTGCAGGGCAGCAACGACTGCGGCGGCCTCGGCTGCCAGGCCGTGGAGCTGCCGTTTGTCGGCTACCGGTTCAGTATGCTACTGTTGCTGCCGCGCGAGAAGGAGGGCCTGCCTGCGCTGGAGGCGCGTCTGGCGAAGACCGACTTCGCCGCACTTCGCGCTTCGCTGCACAGCCTCCGCTCTCGCGTCGTGCTGCCGCGCTTCCGTCTGGAGACGGGCATGGAGCTGCGCGGGGCGCTCGAGCGCCTCGGCATGAGCGACGCCTTCGACGGCAAGCGAGCCGACCTGTCCGGTATCGCCGGTGCGCGCGACCTGGTCGTCGACAGCGTGCTGCATCGCGCCTGTATCGCCGTCGATGAGGAGGGCTGCGAGGCGGCGGCGGCCACGGCCGTCATGGTCGGCGTCATGGCCATTCTCGCGCCGGAGCTGCTCGACTTCCGCGCCGACCATCCGTTCTTGGCGGCGGTTGTCGACCGTGAGACGGGCGTGCCTTTGTTCCTCGGCCGTGTGGCCCGTCCGTGAGGCATGAGGAAGGTGCTGGGAGGGCGAGGGTGGATCCCAGACGCCGCCTTGGGGAGCACGTCGGCTTGGGTTGAAATCCCAAAAGTCTTCTTGCCTTCGAAATTCATCGGCTTTCGGTCCAATTTTTCCTCGGGAGTGTTCTAGGAAAATGCATCTAGTAAACGAGGCTCAAATTTTCTTCAACACTGCCATTTCGCGCCTAACTTTGATCATTTGGGGGCATGACCCAGTTGCCCCCTACCTCCCGGATTCGCCCTTGTGGGATGGCACCGTGGCGTGACCTTGGTATGGAAAATGTAAGGGCGGTTTGCCGGTAAGGTGTGCGTACCATTGCATAGTAACTTCTAAACATATTTCCGTCACTCAGGTTCTTTTAAAGCTGTAAGTGTGCTAGTTCTTTTGAAAAGCTCTGTGTAAATGGCGTTATTTATCTGTGAAACACGCTATCCGTTTTCAGTTAACGCCTGTGTAGACTTTAGTGGCATTTATCAATGGTGATGCATGTTTGTGTTACTGTTCTTCTTTGTCTGTTTACTGTTGAAAAAACGTATATGTGGATTTTATCGTTTGGAAGTCTTAGACACTGTATAACGTGCATGGTCTTAACGAAGTTCGCAACCGAGCTGGCGTCTAAAATGAATGCAGTCTGTAACAACATTGTAAGTTTCACTCAGCCCATTAAAAAATACAACAAT